CAGGAATAGGATCACAGCTATTCCTCCAGAAACAGGTGAGCACACTAAATACTTTACTATAGAATTGCTTTGTCATTTAATAGGCTACTTAATTTTATAGTTATGCATATGAAATTAAATAGACTTAACAGGATAACCTGAAACAGGCACCCTTGTGAATATCTCCTTACATTATAATGTCCTTCATATCGAAATACTTAATTTCACAAGTCCTTTTTTCTTTCTCTAAGCAAAAAGTCATTACCTGAATTTGATTCTTATTTGCATACATTTTGACAAACAGAAAATCACGTATAATACTGCAGTGAATGAACTGAATCAATGGAAAGAATCACTCGACTCTAGTACTAATACAGTCTGAAATAAACTGTAGCTTCTGTACAAATACCCTGTTGGCTTTTAAGGATTCTTCTGAGAGTTCCTCTTGATCAATAAAAAATAGGATGAAGCTAATGTATTCTGTACAGAATAACAGGTTATGAAATGACTGTACTTACAGGCTTCAGATCACAGTGAATGATTCTTTCCTGGTAGAGCACTTGTAAACATCTCAGCACACACTGAGTGAAGTGTCGAATTAAAGATAAACTGAAACCTTGGAAATTGTTCTTTTTGATCAACTCATACAAATTTATCCTGTGGGGGTGGAAGAAGACAGAAAGCAGAAAAGAGATTAGGGAACTTATTTTTAAAGGCATGATTAGTTTACAGTGCATTAGGAGAGTACTTAGCCTGTCTTCCTACATGAGGGAGAACTCAGGCAGAAGAAAATGACTTAGCTGTTTTCCTCCTTGAGAATGCTGTTCTGCATGTAATATGCACAAACATCTCCCTAAGCCTCCAGATCTAAAGAAGACGTAGTGTCAGCGGACTTGCTTGCCTACTGAACTCAGTGCTGTGTTATGCAGCTGTGCTGATTTTCACCAAGAACAACTATCATTCAGGAACTGAGAGAAATAAATTTGCTTCATTGTCCTTTTGCTCTCACTTGCCTTTGCTTTGGCACTTTGTGTAAATCCTTTTTGTCTAAAGAGTCTTTAATGAGCAGTAAATCTTTCTAGATAAATACCCCCATAAATTCAGGTCTCGTTAGGTTTTTATATCCCTCCTGTCACCATCATATCTGAGCTCCTTCCAGTAGGGCATGAAATGATGTTGCTAACTTCCGCCAAGCGTGGTTGGTGACATGTGAACACTGCCCTGAGACCCCGAGGGCACCGCCAGCCCCGATTGCCCTGCCCAGTAGCCTGGGGTTCCCCCCACCTGCCCACAGACCAGGACCCTGTGTCACCCGCCCAGGGCTATCAGCCCCTGCCCCAGTGACGCCACAGCAGGGCTGGTCTCCAGCTCACCACAGCCCCGCTATGGGCCCTGCCAAGGCGGGCCCACCCATGGGCCTACGTCTTGGCCCAGCCTGTCCCTGTCCCCAGGGAGGTGCCTGATGCCCAGGGCTGGAGCTACCCAGGTGCCCTGCAGCTGCCCTGCTCCTGGCTGCCCAGGCCCTGCCCTGACGGACTTGGGGGAGCCCCCATGGCTCCTGGGGCCAGAGCCTCAGGGAGCCCACAGCCTGGGCTGTGCCCTGACTGAGTGCTTAATGTGTGGTCATTCTTCAGAGGAGGAAATGGCCACAGGGATGGTGGCTATCGAAGAGATGCACAAGCCTGTCCTCAGCAATATCATCTCAAGAGGTGTCCTCAGCAGGACCCCATGCGTCTGCAATGACATGAACAACTGTAGCTTTCTGCCTTCCCCGCTTCTGTGTCCACTGGCAAGGCCCATTCCTTCAGAAGTAAATTAAATTACCGGGACTTGAAGGAGAAGAAAGTTCACAAATTAAGGGGATTTCACTATATTTTAGAGGCAATAAAAATTTCACCAGACAAATATTTTTACATGACAACCTGTTGTCATGGTTTAGCCCCAGCCAGCAACTAAGCACCACTCTATCCCAGCCGAAACCAGGACACCAGTCTTCAACTCTTCTGTAAAGAGCTGAACATAGTGGCTATCCCATGAACGTTTTCCTACAAGTTTCCACAGCATCTTTCTGAAAAAAATGGTCCTGTGTCTTCCCTGGAGAGAAGGACTTGACTCTTACCCCTGTGTGTCTGAGTGACCGACCGTCATGCAGCAGCACAATGAATTTAGGTCTGTTGAAGATCAAGTCTTCCATACGATGATGAGTCTTCAGCAACAGCTGTAATGTGCAGCAATGGGGGCTTTACATTAAGGGGTGAGGAACCATGGATAACCTCTGTAATTGCAGTTTGATGCCCTGATTACAAGGTGGCTGGCAAATAAAATGGTCTGACTTCCCTAAAATTTCTCCAAAATTCCTCCTAAAATGTGTCCTGCAGCATACATTCATAGAAAGCAAGAAACAACTATATTTTTTAATTATTTAGTATTATTCATATCTATATACCCTGAAGTTTACAAGTTGTGAATTGATTGTTCTACTCTTATGCCTTAGGTCTTTCAGGGAAGAAGACTTCAATACACAGCACAGAAAATAAGGGATCGATCATGTCATTGTCTGTGTGAAGTCTGAATGGGGCCTTTTTCAGTTCACTTTTCATGACCAAAGATTCAGTTATGCAGTCTGTATTTAAGCAGTATTCCTTTCTCGTAACATGAAGAGAAGCAAATTCTTCCAGAGAAGGCATAAAAATGAAAGCTTGTAAGGCACAAGGTCTACAACGTTTCTTAAGAAAGTTTCTTGTGTAAAGGGAAGTATACTTTACCCCAGCAGTTCAAAGGAAATACAGAAGTGATTGCGAAAGTAGAAGTATTCCTTCATGTGGATGATATTGTGAGTATCATCTTTGTCCTTTTTCAGGAGGGCATCAAGGATCTTCACTTCTACCAAAGCCTGGCTGTGAAATCTGAAATATCACAGGACATGGGAATGGTAACATTAACTCAATCTAGCATTTGTAGCAATACAAATGTTACAAACACCACAATCTTACTGTAAACTCAATATGTGGGGCAATGATTAAAAATTCACCATCCACCCCTGTTAACTACTATAACTTTGATTCATTATGGTTGTTGCCTAGTCTAAATATACTGGCCTTATATAGCATTTAAGAGTAGTTATTTTGACTTATCTGAAAAAAATATTTAAATGAAAAAGAGTCTCAAATGAGCATTCAGAGTAAAATCCTAGTGCTTTCAAAATCCGTAGGAATGCTTCCATTTACTCAAACAGGGCCATATTTCACACCTGCTACAGTAAGACAGTCGGTTTTGAAAAGCATCTTTACATTTTGTGTTCATGGAGGCAGAAAATCAAACAGCTAAAACTCTGTTGCTGGAGTCAACAGCATTATTTTCATCTGCTTCATTGACTCTGGTTCAAGCTAAACTCAACTAAAAATTTGTAACCAGACACATAACAAGAAGAGGTTGCTTAGGACCATAGTGTAGAATTTTTCACATTTAAATGAGTGACTAGAGCCTCCCAGCATATTCCTGTGGTTTTGGAGTCTTGAGGGGGAATGTAGGCTCTCAGTTCTCAGTCATGCAGGGCTGGTTACCTGTGCTGTGTATTAACTGTGTCACAGATACAGAGACCTCCTTGTAAGTCTGGAAAAACTGTGCCAGCTTTCATAGACTGTGTCTCCACTGGGTCCAGGCCAATTCTGAGTCCCTGCCATGACCTTCTTCACTCTGTTCTCACTGTGTTTAATGAAAGCCTGATGTACAGGGGGTTTGATTTTGCTTTGTTCACATTACCCCAGATTGTCACTGCCTATATAACAAAGAGCTGATTGTACTGAATTAAAGTCGACAGATGTCTCACCTTTTCTTATTCCTTATTATTTTCAATGCCACTAATTCATTGGTTTTATGATCCAAGCATTTAGCCACCTGCCCAAATGACCCTTTCCCAATCACCTCCAACACTTCATATCGGTATGCAATATGGTCATGTAAAACCTTCAAAAGAAAACAAATAGTTCAGATTCAGACGGTACAACAAAGATCAGGCTTTAAAGTAGTTCATGTGTGTGTGTGAGTTTACTGTCTATATAAGGTGCCAGACTGGTAGCAAGTGAAGTCTGCATTAAGCAAGGGTGACGGAGAAAATAAGTGCATGCTTCATTAATCCACCTACCTTGCATCAGTCCTGAATGAGATGCAAAGTGGGTCTCTCTTTAGGATTCTCTTCTGAGCTTTAAAGTGATTGTAACTGATGTTTTTACTATGTGAATAGATATCTTCTAGAAACAACATTTATCTCACATAGATCACTTAAGAGTTGGCAGACAGTCACTACAAACTTATTGAGCTGAAAATGAATACCATAATTTTTCTGCTTACCTTTAAGTAGGAACCATGCTCATCATCATAACAATTATTATTCTGGGTTTCAGGCAAACCTTCAATCTTTTTAGCTTCCAGCCCAAGAAACCATAGCTCTGTATAATTGAAAATTTCTTTTTGCTCATACACTGTTAATTGGTTTCTAAAATTTTTCAAGGCTTCTAAATCAGAAAAAAAGAATATAAAACAAAAAATCAGTAAAATGTCAGAAACCTGATGGCAAATTGCTTTTACAGTGGAACATTTTACAGTAGATCATGCCACTTCAAGCAGGAGGGTAAGTAGCTGTTAGAGGTCCCTTCCAACCAACATTTCTATGATTCTACAATGTTGACATTTTGCACAAATTTATGTTTCTTTTTCTGACTTACAGTATTATGTTCAACAAAGCATTCATCACTGTCAGCAAGACTTTTAGGAGATTAGGTAAAAATTATTTGATTCTGAGCAGTTATGTACCTAGATGTTTTTGAAAATCCCACCTGTTGTCTCTCTGCTTCAGCAAGCTTCATAGCTTACATAAAAGAATTGTATGTTTTTATTGATTTGATTGTAATATTTATAAAATGGCAGTAAGCTTTAGTTAACCAAAGCTTTCAAGTACTTGTTTTTCTGATAGAAAATGTCACGTTTAGATGCATGAGGTTAGGAATTAAATGGGGCCCAAATCTGCTGTTCTCCTAGTTCAGATTCTTGCTGCATAGAAAGATTTCAGCTACCCTAACATCTCCACTTACATCATTTAAATCTAGATAAATAATCAGAAGGTAGCATTATAAATCAATGTCTTCTCTAGGCATGCATGTGGGTGTTTTGTTAAACAGTGGCAGATCTTCATCCACTAACGCAGGGATGCTAAACCATTTCAAAGCAAAAGGCTGCTAATTTTTTTTTCTCCTAGACTCTTTCTAAAAATAGATTAAATCTGCCAGAAACTTTCTAGATCTGAGAACTCCCAAAATGCAATTTAGCCCACATAGATAAAATGTGAAACAGATACAAGCAAGTGGGAAAAGTATTTTATCACTGTAATAGCATATTGCTGTCACCTACATGACCTGTCATAAGTCTTAGACAAATATACATTCTTTCGTATAATGCATACTTCTCTCATTTATATATTTGTGTCAGTCTATTCATTCTCCCATTGTGTACATCCCCAAGTAGGACTTTTAGAAATCACCAAGACCATCCATATTCCTTTGCTTCAAATTGTTTGTTAAATATTTCGGTGACCATTTAGCGTGGGACCTATGGTCACTGAGTATCCTGACTGCATACACTCCGATCTGTGCAGCCCCCCTGTCACTCCAGTCTTTTTAGCATGCTGTATTATCTTCTACCTGAAGCTGTCATAGGCAGTTTGACACTGATGCTGGTGCTTTCCAGTTCTGATGGTTTTGTCAGCGCTCCGGTATCGCTTTCAGGAAGACTGTCAGGAAGGTTAAATAGGGAAAAATTGCCTTGAGTTCCATTTTCCTGCCAAGCAAAAAAAAAAAAAAAAAAAAAAAGGTAAATTTTGCTTTCAGATATATTTATGAACATTCAGCTGATCTGCAATTATATAAATATATACAAAAATATATTAAAAAATGCTACAGTCCCAAAGACAAAGCTGTAAGATATTTATTTTGGATCTGTTAAGTGTCAGCTTTGTGCTGAGACAGAAGAGCCATATTGTGGGACTAGAATGCCCTGCTTATCTAGAAAGAAAATTCTGCCAATAGCACTAGAGGCTATTGGACCATGGAAAGATAAATCTCTAAATAAGAGAAGGGAGTTCATCTTCTGGGTTCATTCAATACAAGGGCACTCACTGTCTATAAATGCTGCAAACTGCCACAGTTAGATTAAGTTGCAGTAACTCATACAAGCTAGGGTAGGGTCTGAGTATGGTCTTCCTAGTACAGAGGGCAGGAAAGATGGTATAATAGGCATTATCCATCCCAGGTTTCTGTGCGGGCACATCTGCCAGAGAGTTGTGCTAGAATCCCTGAGATTGCTTGTTCAGCCCACAGAACTGCAGGGACACTAGCTTGGGTCTGCACACATACACATTTGCAACAGAAACATCAAGATTGGTATGAATGGCGAATGAATGGGCCTGTGTGGGTGCGGAAGCACTTGAAGGAACAAATTGCAGAAGAAAGGATATACAGATATCACCTATATCAGCAGGTCATCAAGATCCCAGCACATGCAGATTCTCAGGGCTCCCAGAATCGGAAAACAAAGAGCCAACTACAGAATCAAGCCATGAAGAGATGACGGAGGGCTGGAGATAAAAGAGAGACAGATAAGGACAGAGAACACAGTGTGGTCTGGGATAAGGATGTAGGGTGTGGGGGTCTAGGCCATGTTCTCCTCAATTCCTTCACTGAGGGGAAAAGACTCAGCTGGAGACAATGCATCCAATGGATCAATACTTGGGTGAAGCTACAGAGAGGGCTATGACTTCTATGAACACAGGATGAGGAACAAGAACTGCTGAGCAGAAATAGGATCCATGTGATGAAGCAGGGCAAGAGTGTCTGCAAACAGCTTTGCTAACCTAGTGAGAACAGCTTTTAATTAGGTATATCAGGCAAGACTCGTCATAACCTAAAGGCCCTGATACTCATGGGGTAATTCAGTGACCTCAATATCTGCTGAAGTGGCAAAAACATTCTGGGAGATTTCTGGACTGTGTTCTTAATGCACATGATCTGAGATGCACTGCTGGACCTGTTACTCACACGCAAGGAACAATTGGTTGAGGATGTGAAGGTCAGGGAAAGGGCAGCTTTGGTACAGTGACCACATGATTGTGGATTTTAAAATCCTCAGAGAAGTGAGTGAGACAGACAGTAGAACTCCAAACACTGATCTTCAGGAAAGCAACTTTTGGCTTGTTCAGGGATCTTCTCATCATAAACCCATGGAAGACTGCCCTGGAGGGCAAAGGAAATCAGGAGACCCCACTGATCTTCAAAGTCAATCTCCTCACAGCACAAGAATAGTCCATTCCAACATGCAGAAAGTTGAGCAAACATTGCTGAAGGCCAGTGTGGATGAAAAGGGGACTTCTGACCAGGTGCAAACATAGTAAGGAGCACAAAAAAGGTGGAAGCAGGGATGGGTTATCTGGGATACATGCAAGAGACACTTCCTGAACATGCAGGCATGTTTAGGAAAGCCAAAGCTCAGCTGGAATTGCAGCTAGCAAGGGATGTGAAAGTCAATAAGAACAGTTTCTGTAAGTACATCACCAGCAAAAAAGGAAGGGTAAAGGAAATGTGAACCCACTGCCCAGTGGAATTTGGGACCTCGTGACCAAGGATTTCGAAAAGACCAAGGTACTCAATGCTTTTCATTGGTAAGTTTTGTCCTCAGGCCTCCCAAGTCCCTGAGTCTCGCAGTAGCATTTGTGTAAAGAAGTGTTACCTGCAGTAGAGAAAGATAGTTAGGTTCTGCTTAAGTAGCCGGATGTACCTAAGTCTGCAGGACCAGATGGGATGCACCTGAGGGTGTGGAAGGAGCTGGCCAACGTCATTGCAAGGCAGCTCGCTGTCATTTTTGAAAGTCAATGGCAATCAGGAGCAGTTCCTGACCATTTGGAAAAGGCAAACATCACACCTACCTTCAAAAAGGGCAAGAAGAAGGTTTCAGAGAACTACAGGCTGGTCAGCCTTACCTCGGTCCCTGGGAGGGCTATGGAACAATTCCTCTTGGAAGCCATTTCCAGCCAGATGAAAGACAAGAAGTTGATTTAGAACAGCCAGTATGGATTTGCCAACGTAAGTTGTGAGCAGATGGTATCTGAACAACTTGATTGCCTTCTCTGATTACAGGATTGGCTTGGCCAATGAGAGAAAAGCAGTGGATGTTGTATACTTTGACTTCAACAAAACCTGTGACACTGTCTCCCACAGTATCCCTGAAGCCCAGAGTGAGATATGAGCCAGATAAATGTATCATAATGTGAGTGGAATATCCGCTGGATGGTCAGGTTCCAAGAACTGCAATTGGTTACTGGCAGCATCCCTCAGGGATCAAGACTAAGGCCAGTACAGTTTAGTGTCTTTATTAATGACCTGGACAATGCATGATTTCATCCTCTCCAATCTGTAGACCATAGCAGGGCTGCTATCCGAAGGGACTGAAGGCTGAAAAATTGGCTATGGGTATCTTCCAAAGTTGATCAAAGACAAATGCTAAGTCCTGCACCTGGAACAGAATATACCCATGCAATAGAACAGGCTGGGGGACAACAGAAAGGACGCAGCTTTGCAGGAAAGGGCCTGACAACAACCTGAACATGAGGTAGCAGCATGCCCTTGTAGCAAAGAAGGCCAAACCCATCCAGGCTGTATTAGCACAAGGATAGCCAGCAGGGTAGGAGAAGTGATCTTCCCCTCTGTTCAGCATTTGTGAGGCTATGCTGGGAGTACTGTGTCTAGTCTGGGGTTTCCCAGTACAAGAAAGAGAGTGACCAACTGGAGCAAATTCAGGGTAGAGGTCAGGGGATGGTCAGGAGCCTGGAGCATATGATGTACAAGGAGAGACTGCACAAGATAACATTTGATCAGCCTGCAGAAGAGGAAGCTTCAGGAGTGGTCTTACTGCTGTCTAGTTACTTGACAGGGTGGTATAGAGAAAGCAAAGCCAGACTCCTCTCAGAGGTGCATGGTCCTAGGACAAGATGGGTATGTGGCTAATGGATACCAGCTGCCACAAAGGAAATGCTGATTAGATATTAGGAGAAACATTTTTACCATGAGAGTGGTTGGCTATTGCAACAGGTTGCCCTGAGCCCCTGTGGACTCTCCATCCTTTGAGATATTTGGAACCCAGCTGGACAAGGCCCTGAGCAACCTGTTCCAAGTTTGCACTGCTTGTAGTGGGAGGTTGGGCTAGATGTCTTCCAGAGGTTCCTTCCAACCTAACTGTTCTTTAATCTATTTATAATTCCTCATCCTTTGAGAAAGTTCTGATGACTCTCAGAAGTGGGACAGGATGGGGACACAAAAGACCAGTCTCTCTCAGTGTCAGAAGGGTACAAAAGCTATATTAAAAAAACAGCACATGGTTGCCAAGATAAAAAGAATCCAGGCAATGTAATATCAACTGTCCAGTGGGCAATACTAGTCCACCATGTCCTTACAAGAAGTCCTGGCTGGTGTCACTTGGGTATGTGCATCTTGGTGCTCATGAGTTTTGGGTTAAGAACATGTTAGTGCAAGTGAAAATGGGTTTGTTTTAAAACAAAATAATCTTCTCATACTTGCATCTAACCTTGTTACTTTTTTTTTTTCAATATAAACTGCTACAAAAGCAGGGCAACAACATATGAGTGGAACCACTTAAACAGCTGAAGTACAGGTCTGTGCTGACACAGGTCAGTCCTACAGCTATCCTTCTGAGCCCCAGCTTGAGAACTGCACTCTGCCCATTCCAATACACACTCCCTCAATTCAGCAATACTGTGTTATTTCTAAGGAAGGGTAAACTAAACAAAGAATGTCTTCAAAACAGACAGCACATAATCATGCTTTCTAGATTGAAAGGTTTATTGTCCCCTGGCATTTCTAAGCCAAGCAAAAGGCTTTCTTACTGGCGTTTACACAGCTTCTTATATAAGTCTCTAAGTTCCATTTAAAGAATAAAAAAAACCCTGTGTAAAATGCTTGGGACCAATCCTTTCACAGAAAATAAAATGGAGGGATGGTTCATTTTCAGATGCAAAGCTGAATCATTGGCTTTTGTAGGAGCTGAGTGTAGGTTTGACTTATGAAGGCCACAGAATTAAGCTTTAAAGAAAATGCAAATTATTATGGAGGCTAACCCATTCCACCTCATCATTCATACTATTTTGCATCTTGTAGTTTGCCCAATGATACACACCCCCTAACCAAATTAAATAATTTGTAGTAGTAGCAAGCTGCCAATTTCAAAGTATTTGAGAAGACTCTTGACTTCCCCCCCCCCCCCAAAATGCATTATGTGGGGACTTCCAGTGCAAGAGATCTGAAAAGACTCCATGTTGGAGTCCTATAGAACCTGTTGAGTCTCTCAATAAAGAGACTCCATTGAAGCAGAGGCAAGGTGAAAAAAGGATTGATCAGAGTGGTGGTAGTGAGTAGCACAGGTCCCTGCTTTGTTGGGGAGAGAAGCAGCAAAGGAAGAAGAGTTCAGACAGGGCATGGACATACGATTTGTGAAAAAATGAGAAAGAAAGAAAGAACACCAAAAGTGAAAGTTAATTTAAAAACTTCCTGTGATGGTGTCCATTAAGATATCTGGAGATACACACAGCCATGCTGGTAAGCAATTTCTCTGTTTGACTGTTTATAGTTCTTCCTTTTTTTCCCTCTTTAGCTATGGCTGAAAACAAACTGATGCAAATGCTGACACTAAATTATTTCTCTCTTCCCACACGCAAACACACTTGTGACACTTTGCCACTGACACTCTCTTAGCAGTACTTAGAGAGAAGCTGACTAACCAGTCAAACACAAGATGTCTAAGAGCTTTATAACTCACCTGAAGAGAGGGGAGGCCATTCTGCAAGCTCTTATTTGTTATCTGAGACAGACTGCTTTCAAGGGGGGGAGGGTTTGCAATGTCTGCAACCAAACCATGCTTGGCTTGACCTTCCAGATGTGGGAGGGAAAGAACACCGTGACTGATTTTCTAAATAGAAAGCATAAGTAAATATTACATAATGACCTAGCAAGCACTTCTGTGTAACACCTTCGAAAAACAGAGGGACTTAAAACCTTGGAAAATGTGTATGGTTCACTTCTGACACCTAATGGAGAAGGGGAAAAGAGCAGATACTCTCTGGCAGCTCACAATTGTACAAATGCAAAGGAGGAGGTTGCCCAGGCAATCCAGCAACCTGCCACATTTTAGGGGACAAAATTTTCCCCACAAAAGCATCTCCATCCAGCATCAGAGTACTGACTGCTTCAGCTGGAAAAGGTGGTTGAGCTTGGAAACTCAACAGCCGTTCCAGGCCGCAGGACTCCTTTGAGTGAGGAAAATAAAGCATATATAGGGTAATAAGCAGACATGAAGAGTAAATGGCAGGCAACATCATCAGCTATTCCCAGTGGTAGAAGAGCAATTGGGACCAGTCTGCTGTCAAACACCAGGGTGGAGACAGTGGGAAGGTCTTCCCTGCACTGGTTTCTCAGTATTTCCTTCCCCCACATTTCTCTTGTTCACTTCGACTAGGCCCCTTTATTGCACTCCTCATTAGTGAGGAAAAGGCAAACTCTGTGCAAACTTTACTGAAAAATAAGTTTGAAAACTCCAGGATTATTAGTCCTTCCTTCAGACTTCTCCAATTTGTTATTGGCAAAACATTTCTATAATGCTCATTCTTCAAAGTCAGTCATTTAAGGATGCAGTTTCATGAATGTTAGGACCTCTAATATTCTTGGATATCTAAAGTGAGAGACATCATACTCTTATCAGCAAAGAAAATTTTCAAGGTAGGCTATTTCTTTGGCAAATAATAAAAAAATTATTTTAAATAGATCTTAAATAGATCAACTATGCACTATCAAATGCAGAACAAGGTCCAGAGAGTTAAGGCTACCATAAGCCTGTGAAATTTTTGTAGATAGAAACATATTGACAACAATAAGCTTTTGACAACAAAAGAGAGGTTTGATATTTTTTTCAAAAAGCAAAAACACAAAGCTCTTAGTCCAACCAATTTGAATGAATAAGTTTTCTTTTTCAGTACTATGGAAAAGTCTTTAAAACTGTAGAACTGAGATTCCAGTGGACTTTTCATGAAAGCTTTGAGAAACAAAAGTGGCTAGGCAGAAGAAATGCCTCAAATGCTACTGAACAGCTAGCAAAAACAAAATACTTGCAGGCATGTGGAACAGTCATGCAGCTACAGGGGAAATGAAAGAGTGCAGGGGATAAAGGACTTCCCTCTGATCAGATTCATTTATTATAAGGGGTGTCTTAGAAAACAAGCATTCAGATATTTTTAAAGTCAGCTGAAGAGTCACATACCTGATGGAAGACTCTGTTAGATCCCAGATGATCTCTCTCTTGAACAGTCAGTTGAGACTGAGAAAATGCATCCCCATGGGAAGACTGCAAACATGAAATGATGCTTTAATAAATTATTCTGGAAAAAAATCCTGAAATCTCTGTATGGTTTCTGTGTTTCTTTCCTTTGTGGCAATGCCTGTGCCAACACAGCGTGTGAGAGAGGACCACAAAAGCTGCTGAAAACGCTCTACGCTCTAGCAATTCCTCTCTCAGCTGAACAGCTGTTTTGTGGGCAGGTGCAGAGACAGCTTGCTTTGCCTATTATGCCTCTCAGCATGCTTGATATGCCCATGTGGTCAGCGGAGGGGAAGGGGGGGCCTTTGCCACCCCTAAATATGTGCTCGAAAGCAGATAGTGAGTCTGCTTGGAAGGACAGCTTTAAACTGCCTCTCAAGGTAGATTGTGAGCCCATCCATTGTTAATACAGCATTAAACATTCAACTTGTGGTACAGATTTTATAAGAACACAAATCACTGTTTAAATTTACTGAGATAGAAGAAAATCCATTGGTTCCAATGGACAGATAGTATTTGCAACAAATACAAAAAAAGAAACATGGGGAAAGTGCTAAGCAGCTCATCATGCTCTCAGATTCTACTAGTGCTTTCAGCAGGTTTTTTATAAAGATGAACATGATAAGTAGCACTGTACATTTCTGTCCAATAACAGACTGTAGTGAATTGCAGAAATCTTGACAGTAATTTAGACACTGAAAACTCTGTGGCTACAGCAGCTTGGAGCTCTGCTCTCTAGGCTGGTATGAACCCCACTGGGTTTGGTCAAGTGTGCTCCCTTCTCCTTGGGCTCTGAGACAAAAGGTCATTCTGCTTATAGTCAAAAAAATTATCTTTAACCAATTAGACACAGCAATTCCACTACAGGATTTCTGAAGTGGTAGAACAGCAATATTTTCTCTAGAAGCAGAGGAACGTGGAGGCGTGAGTGGGGAACTTTAATTTACAGTTTCAAAATAACAAATTTGCAGCCAAAATTATCTTATGGATGTAAGCTGCAGATTAAAAATACTTAAATAAAGCAGCATGGTATTCTTCTTTATCTGTTTTGCAGCCAGGGATTCCATGACCTGTACCTGTCACACATTCTTACGTGGGTAGGCCACCTGCTGATGATAAAGTCATTGCTCTTTAAAATGACTTTTAGCCTATCTAGTGCCAGTATCAGTGGCACGGAATCACTTTTTAAAGGTCTTTGTCATGGACTTCAGTTAGTCCACATGAAAATATGTCTGCGTACTGGAGAAGTATGCTTAAGGTGTTGTGTACTGGCTAGTGCCATAAAACATCTGCCATGATGCAGCCTAGCCATGCTGAAGGGCCCTCTGTCTGAGCCTGGAATAGGAAGGGACAACTCAGATGAGACTGCTGCATCTGTGCCAATACACTACATATACATACGAGCTGTAGTGGGTGAGGCATGCTTGTCTACAAACTGATCCATGCACATACAGTGACCGCGATATATCCAGGGCACATCGGCATTGCTACAAAGGTGCATATCAAGCTGAACATACACGTACAATGGCTCTGACACATCCTCCTCTGTAAGTATGGAATAGGTGCTCAGAGAGGCTGTGGGATCTCCCTCCTTGGAGATGAGGTTAGATTAGAGACCTCTAAAAGACACTTCCAAACTAAATATGGAGATAAAACTCCAAGTACAAATCTACCTGATCACATGAAGGAAATGTTGTCCTTTGACATTCAGGTTCAACTCTCTCACAGTCAACCATGAAGACACCACTAAAGCTGGGCAGACCAGCTAGAAACTGCGCTTTGGACAGCTGTGCTGTTAGTCTCCATGGCAGGTATCTTCTCTTTCTTTTCATTTGAAAAGTCAGGGGAGGAAAAAAACCCGCAAATAAATAAGTCCTTCTGCAAGCTCAAAGGGTAAACTTCTGATTCAGAACAATCTGAGAACAGCTCTGGGTTTAGCCTTATTATGCTAACGGGGTACAGTTTGAGAGGAAAGCTCATGGATATCTGTGGAGCAGAGGAGAATATTAAGAATGGGAAAGGTCTTTGCAGGACAGAGTCAGTGATTCCCATCTTTGGAACTAGAGATCAGCTGGCCAGGGGAAGGGATTATCTGCTGTAAATCCAAAACATCCCCAGAGCCACCACAACAAATGCCTCCAGAAGAGAACAACTGGATTATTGCATCCTACATATAAATGTCCTAGACCATGATGTACTTAGCCCAGTGCACCCAACATCCTTGTGATCACTATCCTCCAGTGTGAATTTACATAGATGATCTATGGAAAACACAGTGCCAGAGTATTTTTACACACAAACACTTCACATGCAAATTATGTATCCTGCATTTCAAGGGAGAATCATATTTGTTCTGAAGATGAGTCTGGGATCCACATTCATAACTCTGCTAGATATATCAATGCAGGTGGGATCCACATTCATAACTCTGCTAGATATATCAATGCAGGTGGGATCCACATTCATAACTCTGCTAGATATATCAGCGCAGGTCTTAATAAGACTATTAATTTTAGTGCATATTATACTTTTTCCCACCTCACCTATACTTCACTCCCAGCTAGCTTTATTTTTCAGTTTCTGGAGCTGATGAAAACATTACACTCCATTTAGAGACAGTTTCTTAACCACTTTGTGCTTTTCTAACTACATGTCAATATAAAGTCAGGATTTTAGAGAGAAACAACTATCACTGAAAACCAAAGAAACAGTGAACTTTACATACTTGTATAGACTGCAGAGTCTTCACGCCAAAATGGCATTTTATTTCTTAGCAATACTTTTAAAAGGCTATGCAGTGATGTCTATGTTACTAAATATAAATTTCAAAATATGTTTTATTTACTAATAGAGCACGAACAATTCACAAAGTGTCTTTAAAACTCAGCAAGAGCTAAGGAAGCAGGTGAGTGAGCTCTAAGGTGTGCTGCCAGAATTTGGAATCCATTTAATCTGCATTCTCTGGGGAAAGATTAACACGATTTTGAGACTGACATTTCTCTTTTTATACTGCAAAAGCAAAATCAGTCCCTCTGCCCATGGCCATGCTTCTTTTTAATCATGGAAATCTGTGATTCTATTTGTCTCTTTTTCTCAAAACCTGCTTACTAAGTGTTTATAGTTTGTCAGTGCTCTTTGGGCAATTTATTCAAAACTCCTTAAAATCAATAACTGATCAACCCTCATAACATTCCCCCAAATAGGTAAATAGCATAATCTTTTATCCGTGCACAAACTGATGTCTGCCTACAACAGTCCTGCTGGTTGCTGAATGGGGAGCAGGTGGATTGATCAGTTGGTCTGCACAGTAACTTATTTGATGGTCTTGATCCAGATGACCCATCAGCTGCTGCTCTAGCAAAATCCTGTACATCTAGTATGGGATCTACAGCTGAGCTGTTGTGACTGGTTTAATTCTGTCAGACACACTCTAAAGAAAGACTGCAGCAACTGTTACTATTCCACTCCATTTCACTCCTGACTGTCCTACTCCTATAACACTCGGACTGTCCTACAGCTTCATTCCTAAACTATCATCTCCTGCTATTCCAGCCCTCCAAATCATGTATTACCTTGCTAATTCTAATTATCACTCAAGAAACAGAACAATATCCTCACTCACTACCTAGTCTGCAGTCATAAAGAGTTTTAGGTACTGAGCATACAGCATTCTGCAAAATCAAAAATTGTGACACACTTTCATAATTCCCAAAATGTCACCTTATTTTTTTCAGTACCCAGTTGACAACAGAAATCAGAAATGCATTAAGATTTTAGAAATTATTAAATACACAACTACCTAAAATATACACTCCATTGTCTCATTATTTAAATGGGCACTTTCTTCTCTCTGTCTTCTATCAAAACGGAATAAAGCCTGTTGAATACATAGAGAGAATGCAATGTAGTTGCTAAATCATGCAATATATTAAAAAACCATAGCACATGCAGTCTCACTCACTCAAAATACAGTAGGAACTTAAACATTTTCCCCACCTTGTCAACTATTTCTGTCAGCATAACTGCAAGAGCCGTTAACTGCAGGATAGAGGTTGTTTATTCCATTCAGCGAATGCATTTCAGGAAGCCCACCTTCATCTAGTCAGAGCATAGCAGAATCAGTTTCATACACAGTAACCTGATCAGAAAGAAATGGATAACCCTTCTGCTTGGCTTCAGATTTAAATTTTTATCCCGGAAATATGCCAGTGACTATTAGCTGCTCTAGTATTCTTTTGGTGGCCATCTGTTCCCTTTCTCAGCCTCCTTCTAGCCAAATATAATTTTCCATATTTATCATGGCAAGTCAGTAATAAGAAAGACAAATATAACAGGATTGGCTGTTCTCCTTGCCGTCTCAGTCTGTTCTTTCTCACTGAGCTCATGTGCTTGTGAAACCAAAAAACACTTGAGCTTGTATTTTTTCAATAATTTGTCACAACAACCTTGCTATACAGTGAGTAAAATCTATTCATCAAGACTGCTAGCCTGGAAAATGAAAATAAATTAATAACTCAAGGGCTGATTTCTCACTGGATGTTATGTTTCATTTACTGAGGACCAAACTGTGGCACCTTGGTCTGTGGTTCTTGTTGGCATCAGTGCAGAGCTGCTCTGCCCTGTGAGATAATGAGGCTCTCATTTTGGTGTGGATAGTGAGACAGAGCTTAGCTGCCACCTTGTCTTTCCTTTTCCTCTTCTGGGTGTTATGCATGTGTTGGGGCACTGATGGAGGCGTCCCTATCCCCCCACCATTTTAGGGGAATATGTAAAACTGAAAATACAATGTGCTCTCCTCCTTCATACAGCCAAGGAATGGCATGTTCCCTGCTGGTCTTAAATCTGTTAACAACCCAGAATAGTTCTACTTTCACTCAGAAACCAGATTTTCCAAAGAAGAAATACATGCTCACCCACAGAAGCTATTCTAGAAGGCTGCCACTTTTACTGATGCTCCTAGAATGAGCACCACTTTTCACAGTGTGGTCGAAGGACAAACAGCTATTCTTTTGCATTCATGATGGTCCAAGCAATGCCCTTGCCTAATGTAATTGCTGAGGTGCACCATCCTAAAAGGCACATCACTGTCATTTCCATCACTTCCACTTTTCCGTTCTCCCAAGCTTGGCAACTCTTTAGTCAACAAATCCTCCCCAGTATTACAGCTCACATACAAGAGAAACTTCTCATTCTCTAGCCAAATAACCACACAGACTGTCATGCCAGCAGGGCAGGTTCAGCCCTGGGAATGCATGGAGATGCCATGTGCTGGAACACAAATTAAACAGAACAAACACACACCAAGTATATTTAAGTTAAATCACTCCCACACAAACATATACAAACAGGCATGTGTGAGCACATACAGCTACTTATACTCCAACTGTTGTATCCCACAGGTATATCAAGCATTTCTGAGCAGTTTTCACCAAGGTTCATAAGAAGGTATTTAACTAATGTAGTGTGTGGCATATATTCTAACTGTGAAAATACAGATTTGTGATACTGGAAATTATCAGTGCAGTCCACTATTGATATCACATTTATGTGTTACATAGATGAGAAAGTACCGCGATCATTACCGGCACTTGCTGATAGCACTCAGTGTTCTTCTTTCGACCAGCTGCGCTAGGTATATGAGTTGGGGTACGTGACAGAAAGCGGCACACTGCATTCCCTCTGGTTTATCATAGCGCAGCCATTCTTTTAATTAGAAGATTTATAATACAGCTTTACACAGCTCCACGACCCTCTGGGCCATACCTTTCCATCTCAGGTTTTGGCTCTTGTTGAGAAACTATTAACGTTCCCAGGATAGACTACATAGAAAGGAGTGAAGGACAGATCTGGCCATGTGTTCAACTGTCCCCCATTAAGAAGAATGTCATCTACTTTATTTTCTTTGATTTATTTCTGTTCTTTGTAATGCTTTCTATTCTCATTTTATTTCATTACATTCTTGTAAGCATATTCAAATTTGCTGTGCTAAGTCATGCAGGAATAAAAACAATCTTTAGGATGATTCTTTTGTTATACCTGAAGAGCACCAACTAATTTTTGACAACACAAGAAACTACGGAAATTAAGGCATTATGTAGCTAAGGACGTAATTATCATAACCTTGGGAGATATTCCTAACATCTGAGCAAGGTCCACTACTGAATTCAAATAGAATTTGGGTACATGGGAATTTTCCAAACAGCTGTTTGACTGTACAAAGCCACCAGGACCCTAGCAACATCATCATTTCTAGGAAACAGACTGGGCAAACAAAGGACATAGCCTAGAAATCAGTGCTCAAGCAGGTTTTTCTAAAGCATCAATCTGTTCTTAGGACTATTCCAAGAACAGAAAGTATGGTTATTCTTGGACTCACAAACTGAAGAGGAATCACATTAGAAGCAGGAATTGGACATGGACCAGGTAAGCTATTTAAATTGAGTGGGGTACACAGGTGAAACGCAGCTCTAGATATGTTGAAAAGTCACAGGCAAAAAACCCCCGATGATAGGCAAATAAGATTATCATGATGGAGAAGAATTTTTAACTTTCCTATAAAGCCCTGAAAGCCTTGCAAGATCTTCCTTTCAAGAAAGAGCTTAAGCTGTTTCTACCAATCTGCAGGTCAAACTTGGGAAACATCTGTGTCACCCCTGCAATGAATGGAAGTGGAAGCTGGAGAGGCTAGTCCAGAAGAATCAAGAACTCTCAGTCCTTGTATAGTTCATAACTGCACTTACTAAATGCCTTCCCAAATACTACTGACATCAGACATTCACCTGTATATTCAGATGACTTCCTAAATAGTGCCATCTGGGGAGGAAAACCAGGGGCATCATTTCTTAACTTCATTACTTCAGAGGGGTTATACTAGTATAAAATTAATAGCACATCAATGAACAACACCTCACATTGATTTTTCCTGTAGAAGGTCAGTTTAAACAAAATGATCAAATGTTAGGTTTAAACTTAGAAACATGCATTTTTAAAAAGGCAGAACTTTTGATTTCATATTACTACAACTCACTGGGATTTCCATAGAGCATTTTTTTTCTCTAAAATAAAAAATAGACTGGCTGTCTACAATACACATATATTTTTAATAAACCACAAAGCCTCTCACATAAACCAAAAGGTCAATCTGAAATCTTTTGCAGAACCCTAGGTAGTCTGGGATTCTACAAATTAATCATTTGCTCACCGTTTATGCAGAAATCTGTAAGACACTTTGGTAACTTAAAAACATAGACAGTTCTTAACTTTGCAGCATTAATAATGTTTTCATTAAAAATTTTCATCATAAGTCCCCTTCTCCAAACAAATTTAAATAATGATTAATCCAATAAAAATATCATATGGAATTGATGGTAGATGGTACAACTGATCAAACTCTCTTCTTTCTGTTTTCTAATAGTTATTTTCTATTCCTCACAGCAGGTATGTCATAACCTAATACAAACATTTGTGCATCAAACAATAAAACCAAATGCCAACCATTATTACCTTAGGCTGGATTCTTCTATTTCTTCTCATTCGTAAACAAGAGTTATTGAAGAAGCTGAAATCACAGCAGCTCTTGCTGCTTCTTTCTTTCCCCATAATGACAAAGCTCCATGTTTTCAATCTGTCTCCATTAAATTGTTCTCCTTGTAATTTAAACCTGACGCTACTGTTCATCTAATCCAACCCAGTCACACAGGTGCCCCTCTATGAATCAGCACGGGCTGATTGATGATTTTTATGGGTGAACTAGCTGAAATCAAATCACATGTTGTTTCACCACAGTTTCACAGCATTGACACAAACCAAATAATATCAAACTGAACTGTGAATAGTAGCATATTTGCTGACGTGCTATGAAATCTTTGAGGACTTAGCGCAAGCACAACATGTTCGTCAATTAGGCTCAGCATGATTGCAAAACCGTCCCTTGAGGCACCGCAAGGTGCATCATTTGCTTTCCTTTTCTTCTTTTTTTTTTCCTTTTTCAAAGACACAGCCATAGCTTTAGCTCTCCTGCTATAAACATAAACTGTCTAATGAAGGTAATTCTAAGGTAATTCAGAGTTTTAGTGAGAATCCAAAGAGTGCCCCCAAGCATTTCACTCACAGCTTCCTCTTAGCCCTCAAAACTACTAGTGATCTTGGAATGACTCTTTCTAGGTAGTCCTGTCTCTGCTTAAATTTTAATCCTCTCTGTGCCCTGACAGCCTTTTAGATATTCCATCAGCAAAACAAATGCTCGCAGAAGGAGCAGCTTAAGCTTGGAATATTAAGGGAACAGACTTCACTGATCTTTTATTCAGCACGCTGTAATTTATTTCTGTACTCCTGACAGGCTCCATGGGGGAATAGCTAACACTTAGTCTCAATTCATTATTTTCTTTACTTTTCTTCTGAGAACGATAAAGCAATTCATGTTTCATAAAGAGCAGAAAAATGCACACGAAATCTTTGTCAAAGTAAAAGAAAGATTTAAAAAAGCAGAAGAGCAACACAAGCCTTATGACAATAAAGCCATAGTGGGTTTGGAATAAAAAAGAGAAAAGAAATCTCCAAAATCTGCTTTTTGGAAAAGACTGAAATTAATACCAGTTCAATTTCTTATATTTTTAATGTTGAAAATCATTTCACAAACACTAATATTATTTGATCCTTATTTCAAAATGTATTCATGTAAAAAAAGATGCAGGACCACAGAGACATTGAAATTATATTCTCTCTTTATTCAATTTTTATTTCCTTTGGGAATTTGAAAAAAAAAATGGCAGGGAAGGAAAGAATAGGATGAGAAAAAAGACAATTGGATGACAAAACATAAAGGCCGAGAAGTCAAAACCCCAAACTGTTTTAATTAAAAAAACCCACAGAAACAAACAATAAAATCTGAAGACCATAACTTTTCTTACAGAACAAATAGAGTGTCAAAGCTTGAGAAAGATTTTAGAGAATCACCAAAGAGTTTGTTCCACATGGCAGGAGATACAGCAGTAAAAATAATAAATGGAAGGGCTTGCACT